AGTTCTTCAACCCAAAGTAATAGTCTTCATATATTGTCAGAGAATGAGAACAACTTCAAGCACTGGAACACACTACAGACATTTGAAATGCAGCCCAAAGCCATAACACATCACATGACCCCAAGTTCCACAGGAATTTTGCTGATTGAGAGATCTTCCTCCAATTTTCTTCCAATCCTTCTGTCTATAACATCATTTTTCCCTTCACTGTCTCAGAAATATGCAGAGCTGATTGCAGTCCTGTTTAAAATATCCTGAAAACTAAATTAGAGAGTAAAAATCTCTATTATACACAATTTCAAATAATTCAGAATATAAAGGTCATGCACATACATACCCACGTATATTTTAAAACAATTTCACTAGCAAAGAGAAGAGATGTTACCTTTTTCACTTATTGAATATTAATTTATAGTAGTGAGTTTCCTGGCACAAAATCTTAAAGGTTATATGCACCAAAATATGTGTCAAATACTCTTAAACATAAATAGACATAAAAACAAACAAACAAACAAGATAAAAACCACAAGAATAGCATAAAATACAATGATGAAAATAATATACAATGATAGTAATAAAATGCTTAAAATAAACAACTACACTCACTTCACATAATAAACACAAAATATTAATTTATATTTCATCACATTGTTTCACAAAGTAAGTTACTTTTTTGGTTTCTCAACTATTTTTTTAATTAGTTTGCTTTTTATAAAGGTGGCTAAATTCTAAGAATTGCTTTTTATATATTTTCCTTGCTAACAATTAAAAGTTCAATATGTTCAGCAAGACATTTTGGGGGTAGACAATGGCTTTCTATTTAGCCCTTTCAAGTATTAGGTTAGAATCTGAAATGTGCATGTTAGCAGATGTTGGAGATGAGAAACTGCTAACAAGATTATAAAGGTTCATGGATTGTCAAAAATTTTGGTAAGCTGTCCAGCTATTTAGTAAGTTTTCACTAAATGATTTACCAATAAAAAAAATTTTTTTACCAACACAGTCTTGAGAGGAAATATCTGATCTCAAATGCCATATGTATATGGCTACACAGACTTTCCTGGCTACACAGCATCTTACTATCAAAAATCAAGGATGATCTACATTTTGTCATACACATCCATACAGTTTAATGCACTTTCAACAGTGAGCCCATAGAAACAAGCTAAAACAGAATTAAGCAAGCTTTTAGTCTGAATACTTCAGTTCAAAAGTTTACAGTATCACTATTTTTTGCTTCTTTAAAAGATAACTGACTATCTGTTTCATAGTTTACGACTTCTAATTCTTAAAGGAATTTTTTTTATCTTTTGAAATGACAGTTAATAAAGCATCTCTATTTTCATCACAGCAATGTAAATAGTTACTTTGGTTAGAGTAGACAGAATGGTACCCCTTGTATCATCACGAAGTTGTTGTTTCATTTATCGCCAAGTTGTTGTTTCATTTATGGTAGCCTGAGTAGTTGAATGTTATGGAAACCCTATTATGATGTAATCGGCTCCATGATTGCAGTTAATTTATAAGGGCTTGTGGTGTGTGTTGGTTAGGAAGCAGACTGCTTGTTTTGTGGTTTAGACAGTAAAATGGCTGAATGTGGTAAGATTAATTTAAAGTTTCTGTACAATTTGGGTAGAAAGGGGGAAAGTGCATTACTTGACTGGTGTGTAAATGAAGGTTTACTTTGTAGCCATTATTAAGTTTCCTGTTTGTAGGAAGGAAATGTGTATGGTCAAACATCGGACGATAACGCGCTGCGAATGATTATTTTTTACTCTTATTTTGTGAATTTATGTAGTGACGCCAGTATACATGTTCTAGTTCAGACAATTTTAGGAAGTTTTTGGATGCTGCTAAGGAATTTTTTTTTGACTGAAGACATGTTAATTCATAAATAAGATAAGTGGATATTTCCTTGTGTAGTGCAAAGATGAACTTCCTTTTTTTATGTTACTTCATTGTTTGATTTAATATGCAGTTTATTGAGATTATGTATTTTTCTGTTGGCTGCACCTTTGACTTAAGTGAAAATAGTTCGATGTGTACATGGACAAAGTCAAGGGAGTACGCAATGCCTAGTTTGTACAATTCTCTGATTTTTTTTTTTTTTTTAAGTGAAAATAGGGTGATGTGTACATGGATACCAAGTTTGAGCAATTTTTCGTCTTGTTACTTTGGCTTTGTGTAGCGGTGACAGGCCAAAATAAGAAGTCAAAGAATTGCACAAACTCTGTGTCTATGTACCGCCAAAAATCGGCAATTTTCGCCAAGGGGTACCCGTAAATATGCTTTTACCGCTACTTCACTATGCTGGACAAGACTTATCAATTATCTTTAATGAAGACAGAGTACTTTAGAGATTGCTAATTTTGCATACAATCAGCAATATATATATATATACCTGTTTCAAAATATATTTAAATTCCTTTTCTAATGGATTAATCTTTCTAGAATTTCTAATAATTTTTTAAGTCTTCGTATCAATTAAAATTATTTAAATCTGTTCATACACATGATTACGAGGCATATACAGTTCCAAACATCGTATTTAGTTTCAAACATTGTATTTACGAAGATTATGCATACATAATGATTTTCTGAAACCTGGAATAGTAAAAGATCTAAAATTTTATTTATACCTGGACCACAGCTGGAAATGGATGTGAAAAAAATTTAATATTTTTAAACTTATCCTGGTACAACTCTGATAAACGCCCTAATTTCACCAAATGTGGCAATATTATTTTTGGCGCGATTGTATTTATGGGGATCGTAGTGTATTTTTGGAATTTCTGTGGGAGTCGGGACTTTTAAAACGGAGTTTGACGTGTCCGAAATGCGGAGCTGATATGAGAACTCGGACGAAAAATGGTGTTTCTGATAGACTTGTGTGGGTTGCAGTAAAATTGTTGCTAATAAAGTATGTGGGTGTCAGTTTAAGGTTTAACTGACACCCACATACATAATAGTTTAAGGTTTGGATCTTGGTTTTCGTGTAGCAAGTTAACGTTGGAGGAAGTTTTTATTGTTACTTTCGAAATTTTGAATCGTAGGAAGGCATGTGATATAGCAAAATCGTGGAAGTTTTCTTCACAGATGTTGTGTGACTGGCAAAATTTTATTAACGAATATATTTTGGACTTTGTATGCTCTGTATCTGAGAAGATAGGGGGAAAGATATTTCTGCTTTTAAAAGCAGCTTTCATTATTGGTAAATGCATTTTATTTTATTGTTTTTATTTGTAGTAGAATGTTATTCATTGTTTTGTATGAATTCGGTTTTATGGTTGTTTTTTTGAGGTCTGAAATTTATTTTAGTTTATTTTCTGATTTGGTTTTAGTGTAGATTGTGCAATTCGTATATGTTTTAAAGTGAAAAGAACGCTGTGTACATGGTATTCTTGAAATTTATTGTTATGTTAATTTATTAAGCGAGTTGTGCGTAGTTCGTAGATTCGTTCGTTGCCTACAGTGTGCCATTCGTAGATGTTTTTTTTAAGTTAAAACATGTCGCTGTGTACATGGATTCTTGTAAATATTTTGGTTAGAAACTTTACGTTTTTGCTATCTAAATTTTTTTTTTTGTTTCGGATTTTTAGCTTAAATCGTGTGTTCAAACGTAGTTTTTGCATGTGCGAAAACCGTGTTTTTGGAAACATTTTAGGCTTAAAGTTCGAAATGTAGACAAAAAATTTAGATAGTAATATGGCAGCGTAAAGTTTCTCGCCAAAAATATTTGGCGAGAAATTTGGCGACTTGAGGGCGTATATCAGAGTAGTTCCCTTATCCTTTCATACCCAGAATTTATAATAAACACAATTCGGTTAATCTTTGGATTATGGTAACTTGGCGCTTTTTTGGCGAAACTTTGGCGACCAACCCTGCTACAGCAACCTGCTAGTTTTTGTTTGGACGTCATTTTTTTTTTCACGAAGTAAAGGCATTTTTTTCCCAACAATCTGCTAGCCGAATTACGCTTATGCTAGAACTTTTATGAAACAAAAAGTGCTTAATCATGACGAAGATTATGTGTGAAATTGGGAGATAGTGCAGAATCGCAAACTGCTTGCCGCATTTTTAGGAACTGCACATACACAGTATCATTCATATACACGTCGACATATTTTCACTTAAAAAAAATCATTCCAGAATTGCACAAAAATGGCATTGCGCACACTCTTAACTTTATTCATGTACACTGCTAAAGTCCTAGCTAGTAACCTTTATCACCTTACCAAAATGTTGCCAAACTACCTGTTACCATATTCCAAAGATTAGCCCACAATTCATTAGTAGTACAAAGTCTGTAATCTGGACGTCCATTATCCGGAATGATCTATAATCCGGACCTCAAAGGCACAACTTTTTTTTTTTTTATGCTTTACACATGCATGTTTAATGTTTACGCATGCGCCTTTAGCACAAAAAATGAAGCAACTTAAACAACTTACATTGAAAGAAATGTTTAATAAAGTAAACAAATAAATATTAAGCTTTTTTTTTGTAAATTTTGATACTCTTTAGATCATAATTGCTCTTTATTTCATAAATTACAGTTTCATATTTTAATTGTATAATTACTGCATGCCATACTGCCAGATTTAAATTGATGATCTATAATCTGGAAAAACCCTTAATCCGGAATCGCCGAAGTCCCAAAGAGTCCGGATTAAGGACTTTGTACTGTAATGTTAATTCCCTTCTTACATGCTTTTGTGTTACCATGTGACACCCGCCCCCCCAGATGCAAAAAGTACGACAAAGCAAAATTAAAAATTTTCTAGTCTGCATATTTTAATTATGCAAATTCCATCAGACTGATTTGTTGGATTTTGAACAAATAATTCTGCATACAGATATTCTTAAATAGAATGCAAACTTTCACTTGTGAAAATTTTTGAGAAATTTCTCTGATGAAACCAACATATCACATCACAGGGATTATCACATAATCTATGCAAAATTATTAACAACTTAATCAGATTTTACACCTAACTTACCAACTGCCTTAAGAGTTCCACAGCTTCCAATATTAACTGCTGATGCCCAACTTTAAATATATGAAGGTCTTCCAAATCATCAGCAGTTAAATTTAAAAGATGATACCCGTCTATTTCATTATTCAGAAAGAAGTGAACATATGGCAACAAAGAGTACTCCAAGCCTATGTAAATGAAAAGTATTTTTTAATTTCTGAAACAATGGTGCAACATCTGATCAAAAGGTTAACTGTAAGTAATCTGCTTATGAATAAATAACGTTACACAGTTTTTAAATTAAATATAAATCACAAAATAGAAAAAATATTCAAAACAATTTTTTTGCAAATTAGTTACCTTTTTACATTTTTTAATAGCATGATTAATACTGTCTCAACTGTTCCGAAGGTATGCTCAAAGGCTTATTCAACATTGACAGGCCCAAGCCATAATCTCATGTAAAGCATGGTCATTTATACAATTGCCTCTTTCCTCTTGCAAGTATAATACTGCTTTACTCCTTATACACGTTAGGCAATGTTCTAGGATACAAGATAATGAAGTGTACAAATGTGTTCAGCATTTCTCGGGCAGATCAAACAAGCTAATGCCCCTCACCACTACAGAAAACTGATTTTTCTTTCATATAGATAGGTAACTTCATTAAGATACCTTTTGATACTAACATATTAGATACAGTTTCAATACTAAAATTAAAATATCCCATGCTGTGTAACAGCTTACACAATGGGTGTTTGAATACCAAAGGACATTACAACAACTTTCAATATGCACTGAAACATATGAAAATTTTTATCGGCATCTAAATTTCAGGAATGAAAAAGAGATTAAAATGAGTTTCAGTTCTTTTCTTCAAGAATCTTTCATTTGTTTAAGAAAAAATAGAAACTACATTTGGCAAACAGTATTTTTAGAGGAATCATAATTAAGAAGGCAAAATGCTACTTAAAAATAAAGTTCAAAGTGTTCGAAAATTCCAAAGAATGGCTTATATAATACTATGATCTACAAATTTGCTTTACTCTTAAATTTCCAACTAGATTAAATGAACTATGAGATTATATGAATGAGGAAACTGATGTGCTAGTTTCAATTATTCATAGAATTTGGTATCCTTATAAAATTTAACCAATAATGCGTGAATTAACTAAATGGTACAAATTTTTATGACGTATAGTGTAAAGGGAATAAGAACGAGTAACATTAAAGTGGAAATTAAAAATTAAAGACCTGAGATTAACCAGAAACATAAAATTTCTTTTAATTACAGAAAAACTTTCCAAGAATAAGATATATGCTATTATTAGCACATAACTTGCAAATTAAATTCAGTACGAACTGTTTACAAGTTGCATTAAAAATTTAAGCAAACTTTTATATTTCAATTAAAGCAATATAGCACAAAAGATAATTTACAATCTTCATCAAAATTACATTTTTGGAATCATTAAAAGTTTAATTCGCCGTCTCTCCTACAATGTACATTAATATCTTGTAAAAATACTTGCATAATGATAATTCATTTCACTGAACGATACGAGAAGTGCGACGAACTTATTCTGATTAACATTAAAGAGACTCGCGAAGCGTTTATACTCCGCACTCCTTCCACAAAGAAAGTCCCAAAGTTTTTTAAAATATGTTCAAGTGATTATTTTTGTCAACTCTCCATACCACACACTAATACAGAAATATATCCCATATCAGTGGAAGAGTGATCGAGTGACATAAGTTTTGATGAATGTATTACAGATTTCTTACCTCTTAGCCATTCGGCAACATGTTCTGGAGACCACTCAGCAACATTGACGTATGCCATTTCTTTGCGTGTTCCTCATAATATGGGGATTTTGTTACGTTCATACCACACATCAGCAAATTTTAAATTGAAATATTTGCGCTTCATCACCGATAATGCCTTACTGAGTGAAATGAAGAGTTCACACACATTTTCAAAACAACAAAAATATTTAAAAGCATGCTTTACGGTCACAGTTATTAACATAGTATCTGCGGCTCAAGTACTGCAAGAGCCGAACTTCAATGATTGCTGCTGACAGACAGACAAAGTAGACAGAAGTCTTGTTCTACACCAGTGCTGCATACACCGGAGTACCTGGTCTCAGTTAAAAGAGAAAGAAGCAGCGAAACTTGAGAGACTTAAACAGAGTATTTCTGTTGGTAAGCCTAATTCCGAGCGAAAGCGCAAAGGCCAGCAAATTGATAACGAGGGATTTATTATCCCAGCTTCGAGGAAGCAAGGTAAATCTCTGATAATTCCCTGATTGACCTAAGTAAAATATTGAAATTGTAAATGATTGTGAAAATGTAACTTCAAATGTTAGTAATGTACATGTATCCAATATATGGCCGCTAAATCTACTCCTTCAAAAGGTCAAAGGTGAATCCTGCTACTGGCCAAAAATCAAAGGTGAAACCAAGTAGAAACAATTTCGAGGCAATAAAAGAGTCTTTGTTGAACTCTGACAAAGAGCCAAATTCCAACGCTGAGGTTTCGGTTTCCCCTGGCAACCAAGACGTAAACAGAGGAGAAACGAGTAATGATTCTAGCGAGCATGTCTGGAGCGTATCCCCCCTCCGCAGCAACCAAATAATATTCCCACTATTCACGTGAAATCAAGCAAGCAGAGGAAGACGCAAATGTCTTTTACGTGAAATTGCCGCGAATATTAAGAACAGACTCACTGGTCCCTATCCAAAATTGTTCGTTCAAACGAACTTGAGTTCCGGGAGGTTACCCGCTGGATGAAAAAGGCTGGCATCCAGTATAAGACTTTAGACCTACAGCAGGACCGGCCAATCAAAATTGGAATTAGAGGCCTCCCGGTTGAAACTGAAATCGAGGTCGTTAAAGATGAAGTCGAATCGGTGGGCTTTAAAGTGCACCGGTGCGTTCGGCTGACTCAGCCATGCTCCAAACATCCAATGCGTCTTGTATATTTACAAGTACTCCCTCACCCCTTCATCGACCATATGTTTGCTGTCCATAACATGTGGACCACAGAGGTCAGCATTGAGCGTTATCCCGGCCGTAAGGGTCCTACTCAATGCTTTCGGTTTCAGGGTTTCTTCCACTCATCGGAAGTCTGCACTTTATCAATCCGTTGTGTGAGATGCTCTGGACAACCCTGGGCCTTGGAATGTACCAGGCCTATGGATATTCCTGCTACTTGCTGCAACTGCGGAAGCGATCATCCAGCCAACTATAAATCTTGTCCTCGTTTCTCGGGAAATAAACGGACTCGTGGCAAGAAAGCCACATCTAAGGATAGTGCCGCTGCAACAGCAATTCCAACTCAGGGCGCTTTGACTCCCTCGGCAAACGCGTTTAAAGACATCCCACACATGCTCGCCCCAATGGTGTTAACCTGCTGAGTTATGCAGCAGCGGTAGGGAATGAAACTAAGGAGTTTAAATGTGATTCCAGACATCCAACACTACTGGTTAGAACAAAAACAAAAAATGTAACCCCAGCAGTCACCTTAGCAGACAGTGCCGACTCGGAAAATATTTTCTCCTCCACTCTAAAGTGCTTGATTGACATCTCCCGCGACCCTGCGGTAGACAAGCATATTCTGCTACTAGCTTTCAAAAAGGCTATGCCTAAGGTTAGGGAAGCAGATGCTTAATGAGAGCTTTTTTCATTTAAGACAGCTATATTCAGCTTTCAGACTAATTCGGCTAATCTTTCGGCCTGTGTCTCCTGTTATCATCGCATAACCTACCATCAGCAGCCTAAAATGCAACTCACAAAGTGAAAAAAGTTATATTGCCAAGAGAGCTTTATCCATTTGTACATGGAATGAAAATGGCTTGTACAATAAAATCCATGAAGTACGGGATTTTATAGCAGAGCACGATCTTGACTTTTTTTTTTAGTCCAAGAGACTGACTTTATCCCAGGGCGAACTCCAAGAATTGGGAATTATGACATTTACTCGACTGACAGGGTGTCATATGGCAGACAAGCAAGTGGTGGCACCTGTATCTATGGGAAAATTCGATTAAGCATCACATGATACCGACCCCGGGTTTCGAGCATTTGGAATCGACTGTTATCCAAATTTTTATACAAAATGAAATTAAAGTGATTCAAGACTTAGCTTCTGATCACTACCCTGTTTTGATTACCCTAGATATTCAAAAACGATAAAATTGCAGGAGCAAGTCTCTACAAATTGGGACGATTTTCGGCTGGCTACTATTGTTTCAACATACCTTCTTCCACAAGGAGCTGCTCGTGGGAGGGATGCTTTCCTGTCAGTGATTTTGATAAACTTTTAGCAATTTTAATTCACTAGTCATTGTTGGTGATCTAAATTCACGCCATACCGCACGCTTTTGTCCTAATAGAAACAGGTTTGGCATTAAACTAAATTCATGGGCTAAGATCTCCCGTGTGCAGATCATAGCTCCTACTGTCCCGACTTATCACCCTGCTAGAGGGTCCTCCGCAGTTCTTGATCTGGCTGCTTTTTATAATGTTTATTTTCGGCATGAAATTAAAGTGATTCAACACTTAGCTTCTGATCACTACCCTGTTTTGATTACCCTAGATATTCAAAATCGATACTTAAAATTGAAGGAGCAAGTCTCTACAAATTGGGACGATTTTCAGCTGGCTTATTTTAGAATGCACAGCTACATCTCCTATCAAAATTTCCAGCAATGCGGATTTTGACAGGTGTATCAAAAATTTGGAATCTTCACTAAAAGCGAGAGCTGCGGCTTCAAAACCTATCACACACCTGGGTGCTAGGCTCCCGCCTGAGACTAAATCTAAAATTAAGCAGCGAAACTACCTACGAAAACTTTGGCAAAGAACACGTGACCCAGTATACGTGTTCAATTTTGCAGACTACAGAAAGAGATTAGGTCTGAAACTCGCTTGCAAAAACAAGCGGAGTGGAAACACTATATCGAGTCCTTAAAGACTGATGTCGGAACGGTTTGGCGCGCTGCCGGCCGATTACGCAAACAATTTAAACAAACTCCGCCCCTTGAAACGGCCAATGCTGATCCGATGGCTTTTACAGACACTGGAAAGGCTGAAGCTATCGCTGACAGTCTTGCTACACAATTCAGTCCAAATAACGACTCCTACTGCAACCGCCCGGTTACACAGGGGCGCATACACTCACGTATTGAACATTTTTAACACAACCTATCACGTCTGATCTCAGACCTACTGACCCAATTGAGGTGCCAGAATTCATTGAAAAAATGAAACCCAAGAAGGCACCAAGCATAGATTCAATTTCGAATCGCATGATCAAAAACTTCCCCGTAATGTTTATAGTGTGGATTACGGTCCTGATTAATCTAATGCTTAAAAGGTGTTGCTTTCCTGACTGTTGGAAAATTGCCGCAGTCATTCCTAATCCAAAACCGGGTCAAAATTTAAGTCTCCCCTTCAACTACAGGCCAATTAGCCTATTATCATCTCTTCCAAAAATTTCTGAATTTGTTTTACTTAAACGCCTGAATGAATTCTGCCGTGATCGAAATTTAGTAATCCCGGAACAAGTTGGCTTCCGCCCTGAACACTCCACAGTACATCAGTTACACCGTGTAGTAAAATTCATTCACGAGGGCTTTCGTAAACGAGAGAAAACTGGAATTGTCTGTCTTGACATTGTCAAAGCTTTTGACAGAACTTGGCACGACGGGCTTATTTACAAGTTCAATCGGCTTGGTTTTTCGGCACAACTCATTAAAATTCTTAACTCGTACTTGACAGGTAGATCCTTTCGAGTGCGAGTTAGCCATGAATACTCATCTTCCCGCCCAATCTATGCTGGCGTCCCTCAGGGAAGTTACTTACTTTCACCTCAAACATTCAACATATTTGCAAATGATATTCCTAAATCACCTTATCCGATCTAGCTTTATATGCAGACGAAACAGCCATCATCTCTCAACATTCCAGCACCCCCACGGTAATCTCTGCACTACAGAATTATCTTTCAAGGCTAGAGCTCTGGCTCGGACTATGGAAGATCAAAATTAATGTCGCAAAATGTGCCGCCAATTTATTTATCCGAAGAACTCACCCCAATTTACCTAACTTGCAATTCTTCGGAGAACCAATTACCTGGGTTCCTACTTATAAGCATCTAGGAGTGATACTTGATTCAAAATTAACTTCGCAACCTCACATTCGAAAAACAATTTCCAATGCGAAGGTTGTCAAATCCCGATTACTGATTTTTATAGCTATAAAAAGAGACCTGTCCACGAAGAACAAGATCTTGTTCTATAAATCAATGACAAGGCCTATTCTGACTTACGTAAGTCCCGTGTTAGGTGCAGCAGCAATTACTAATAGGAAACATATCCAAATTTTCCAAACTATTATGCTTCGGCAAATCTACAAACTCCTTGGTTTGTTACGAACGAGGACATTCATAATGCAGCCAAAATTATTCCCTTAAATCGCTTTATACAGCGACTTTCGGTTAACGTTTTCAAAAAGATTCTTTCGATCGGTGTAGTTGACTGCCGTAGTCGTACGGATGGAAATAAGAATTATTGTACATCTGTAGCGTGGGGTTCATTGTCTTCACACATGTCACTGTCGATTGACGCATAGATAACACCTTTTTATTTTTGAACTTTAATAAGTAAACAATTACTTATTAAAGTACTATTCAAGGACTAATTCTAACTAATTAAGACACAATAACACGCCGAACAAATACCAATTCAGAAGTCAAACAACAAAAATCAGCGTTATCCTACAAAATTTTCACAGGACTAGTTTCCGCATGCGGTTTTGCAGCTGAAGATGATGGTTCGGTAAAACCATCGAAACTAGTCCTGTGAAAATTTTGTAGGGTATAATGCTGATTTTTGTTGTTTGACTTCTGAATTGGTAATTCTAACTAATTTATTGAAGACTAAATTTAACTAAATTTATTCAAGAACT